AGGTTACCAACAATTTGTTAACTGAAAAATAACTAAGGTATTACAGAAATAATGCTCAACCTGCTTTGGATGAAGTAAGGAAAACACTTTATTAAGAGTCTATACACAGCTGGCCATAATATGGATATCCAGGTCCATTATGTGTGAGGTATAAAAAGTCCAATACAAGAAGTGAGTTGAAGGCCTTTTGGATCAATGGCACCATTCCAGCAGAGGCAAATACTTATATCTGTGGTGGAAAACAAATTCTTCAAACCAGTCCTCATATAATTCCCAAATAAAATACCAAAGAGAATGAGCTATTCACCAAAAAAAATCATAAAGTACATGCAGACTCAACAAACAAGAATCAACAGAAACAACAGACAGTAAAGTCAGATCTTAAAGAATGACAATATTAGGATTATGAAATATAGCATAAGATAAATACTTAGTTGTTTCAGTAGATAAGAGAAGCCATCAAAAATATGAATAATAGAAGAATACACTTTGAAGAATACACTTGAACCTGTATCTCACATCACATATGTAACAAACTCAAAACAGATTAAAAACATTGTAAAAAAAGAACAACAAAAAATGTTGTAACACCCAAGACTGTCGAACTGTTAGAAAAGATTTCTTAATTTGATTGGTCCCTGCTATGACTTTTAGAAATGTCCTGGAAAGCACAGGGAACAAATATTTTAAGATAGACAAGTCAAGTTGCATCAAACTAAAAAAAAATCTAAACAGTTGGCAATCAACACAGCTAAGGACAAGAGAACACATTTATAAGATATAATGTGACAGGTTGAACTATCACATTGCAACCATGATTAACACGTAACTTTCCATCTGGCCAAAACATCCTGTCTTGGTCCATCCCATAAGAGCCCCTCCATGACCACTGTGGTGCATTTTTCTAAATCTCATGTAAGTGGAATCATGGGGTGCACAGTTGCTTGTGTGGCTTATTCAAATTTGGCAAAACACCATTGTGATTCATCCACGTTGTTCCTGGTAGTTTCTTCCCTTTGTCACTGAGTGACATTCCATCATACGTCAGGGGTTCTTTTTAGACTCACTATTTGCTGGAAATGTGGATTGTTTTCCGTTCTTGGCTCTTACAGCATTTAGTAGCTACCATAAGACTCATGTGCAGGTGAAGTAGAAGCATCCTACCGTGTGGCTATGTTTTTATTTGTGTGCGTAACTTCCTAGGAGTGAAACTTGGGGTCCACATGTTAAGTATATATTTAACTTATAAGAAAATGAAAATCTGTTCCCCAGTGTAGTTGCGCTAATTTGCATTCCTATCGGTAACATATGAAAGTTACACTTCATGGCAGCATTATTTCGAACAGCCGAAAATGGAAACAACCCAAATGTTCACTGTCAAAAAGATGGATGAATTATGTAATATGTTCATTCATAAGAGACAATAAATGAACTACGGCTATGTAAAACTGACATGACTAAAACATACTAAGAAAAAAAATCAAACCACAGAAGAGTACATAGTGTAATGCTTCCAAATATGCTATGGGACAAGGAGTAGTGAGAACGCCCTGAAGGTGTTAGCAACAGCCTGTATCTTCATTTGAGGATAGTGATACTAATATTTATTTATTTTCATTCTTTTTTTTCTTTTTAGAGACGGGGTTTCTTTGTGTAGCCCTGGTTGTCCTGGAACTCACTCTGTAGACCAGGCTGGCCTAGAACTCAGCGATCCCCCTGACTCTGCCTCCCGAGTGCTGGGATTAAAGGAGTGAAGCACCACTGCTTGTGGCACCACTGCTTGGTGTTATTTCCGGTCTTTAATGAAAGCGTCTTTCATGAAACATCTTGTACAAGCATGCTTGTGGTGTGTTCTTAGAGTAAAAGTTAAGGGAGGAAAATGCAATTCTTCAGTGTTCTGGTTGGCTTGTCTTTGAAAAGGAGGAAATAATTGGCCTGGACCTTTGTCCTTTCTGTCATGCGTTTTCCTAACTCTATTTAGTATTCTGCATACTTTCTCAAAGAAGGTGTCGACAGGGTACTGAAGTAATTCTGGGATGCATTTGTGTCTCTCAGAGTGGGCAGACATCCGACTCCAGGAAAATTAATGGAGGTAGTTAAGTTCATAAACCCTTGTTTGTGGAAATGAGAATATGGCCCAGCTGGAGACAAAAGTGTTCGGGGAGAATGACTTATTTGGTAAAATTTTATCGAGAAAGTCTGTGTCCTTTATGTATTCCTTTTCCAATAGAAGTATTTAAAACTGAGGTTTAAAAATCTCATGAAGTCCAAATATAAAAGGCATATCATCGACCCTAGGGAGCCCTGCTGACTGCTTATTGAATAAGAGGGCTGCAATATTGACAGCAAAAATTCCTCACTCTCCTTTCCAGGTCATGTCATAGCAATATAAATTCAAGAGGCTGAAAATCTCACAAGATCAAAGTACCAGTGAGCAAGATGGAAAGGAGGCAGGAAATATGTTTTTCATGTGCTTTAGTAATATTGAGAAAACTATGAATGAGAGCCCTCCATCAGAGGGTACATTCCTGTCTTCCTCCTTTGACGTTGTTACTGAAGGCAATATAATGTCACAGTTACAAACTCATTACAGTTTTTATTATAAGTATATTACACAAGATAAACTTGATGTGAATGCAATTTGTCTCCTCCAAGAAAAATCTTTGTTAACAACTCAGTTTCAAAATTTCTTCACAGTTGGAAATTACATGTGAATTATGAGGGAAGAGTTTCAAATATAGAGGACTAGGATGTGAGCATCTAATTTATTAAATCATATTAAAAATCACTAGTAATAAAATGCATATGGCATTACTATTAAAATATAAGCTTCACTAATTGAAAATGTCCTTAATATCAGTCACTGGTTCCTTTAAGTCTGCGGCAAGGTGCTGAGTTAGAAGCAATCGCTTTAAAAAGTGTAGTAGTTGTTCTGTTGTGCTCTCTGTTACTTAGAAACCTAAACTACATTTTAGAGAGGTGAAGAAGACGAAGGAAGGTGGGATTGGCCATGTCAGTTATTTCAGTATAAAAAATAGTAAAAGATGTCTTACCTATTCCTTACCTGATCATCACTGTTAAATGATCATTCTCAGTTACACCACAGATAAGCCCTACCCCAGGCAAAGGATGCATTGCATTAGTGTCTTGCCTGCATGTGTGTCTGTGTGAGGGTGTCAGATCCCCTGGAGCTGCAGACAGTTGTGAGCTGCCATGTGGGTGCCTGGCCCCTCCACATTTTAAAGTTTTTAATCTGGAACACAGGGTTACATTTAAAATTTTGAAATTTTTACTTTATGTGTACGGATATTTTGCCTTCATGTATGTATGTGTACCAAATGCAAGTCTGGTGTCCCGAGGCCAAAAGAGGGAGTCAGGGTCCCTGGAACTGGAATTACAGATGGTTGTGAGTCACCATGTGGATGCTGAGAATTGAACCTGGGTCCTTTGGAAGAACAGTTAGCTCTTTAACTTAGCTCTTAACAACTGAAGCACCTCTCCAGCCCAAAAGGCCTGCATTTAAACAACACACTGTGGTGAGGAAGTGTGTCCTAACAGAATCGCACAACAGAGAACTGCTTACTTAAGGCTGGGAATAAGACATTCTCAACAGTTCTCACCCTGCGGGTCATGATCCCTCTGCGGCTCCAATGACCCTTTAACAGTGGTCACGTAGGACTATCAGAAGACACAGATGTTTACAGTTATGAAATAGCAACAAAAGTAATTTTTTATGGTTGGGGGTCACTACAACATTAGGCATTGTATTAAAGGGTCATAGCATTAGGAAGGTTGGAACTGCTGCTCTAAAGACTTTCTTGGGGGCCAAATAATAGACAATAAATGCAAAATGTATATATGTATATATAGATTCTGTCAGTTCATATGTATATATATATAATCATTCTATCAGTTCTGTAAATGTGACTATGTACATACACATATATATATATATCAGTTCATATTATGTATAAATGGAAGAAGGAAACTTGCTGTCACTCTCACCGGCAAGTTTATTCCTTCACTGGCATTAGAACGGGGTGTGTGTGTGTGTGTGTGTGTGTGTGTGTGTGTGTGTGTGCGTGTGTATGTGTGTGACATTCTATCAGTTTTGTTTTTCTAGAAAACCCTGACTGACACACAGAGTCAAAGGGAACGTTGACAGAGTTAGGAGAGAAGAAAGCAGGGATACAGAGGAGAAATTTCTGTGACTACAAAGACAATGGTGGGCCAGCCATAAGCCAAGGCATGCAGGCAGCTGTCAAAAGCCGAGGAATGCAGGCAACTACCAGAAGTAGAAGAGACTCAAGAAGGCTCTTCTAGAATCTTCAAAGCTTGTAGATTTCAGGATTCTGACTATTGACAGTAACATTGAACTTCTGGCCTTCCAGACCAGGAGTTTTTCTTGTTTTCAATGGCCAGGGTTGTGGTACTTTGCTCTAATGACTTAGGAAACAAACACAGAACCACTGTCCAGGTTTTGCAATTCTTTCTTCAGTCCCATGCAAATGACTATTTTAAGATGGATAGATTCAGAAAAACTTAAGATTTATCTGTTAAAGTTCAGTTCCCAGTGCCAATGTCAGGCAGCGCTGACTGTTCCAGGGGTTCCTATACATTATTCTGGCCTCCACAGACACATACATGACATACACCACACACACAGACACACAGACACAGATACACATAGACACACACAGACATACAGACACAGACACACACACACACACTTAAAGATTTCGCAGAGCAGAGGATTGCTAAACTGTTAGTGTTTCCTGTCACTTCCCTACATGGATATTTGTTCTCTAAATCAACAAGCTGAAAAACAAAATGCTTCAATGGAGTAGATATTAATTCATGTAAGAACAAAACATCATCACAGACAGGTCATCATATGCCTGAACAAAGAAAAACTTACTTTGTGTTTATTTAAATGTCAAAGCCTCAAAATTCACAACTAAACAAAGCTTTTTTGGTTCTGTTTTGCTTTTTCTTTGCAGAAAGAACGCAAGAGCTTGCCTGCCGGGAAGTGTGTTTACTACCCAACCTCACATATCTTCCCTTCTTCAATTTCTCTTCTGTGGCTTTTCTGCAATCGGCAGAGGAAACACAGACCGTTATGGGACTCTTTCCAAATTATTCCAGTTTCCAAAGCTTCAGTGAGATTTGCCAAGGCATCACAAGTGGATTTCCGATGTGTTCCTTGTGTTTGGTTTGTGAATCCAAAGGAGACGTGGATCTCATTTCTCAGGAGCAAACATTGAAAGGTAAACACAAAAGAATAGAGTAACATTTGCCAAGCCTAAATTAAGTCATTCTGAAAAAGAGCATCCCAGGGCTGGAGGGCTAGCTCAGTTGGTAAAGCACTTCTCGCCATACCATGCAAAGATCTGAGTTTGAACACCAGAACCCACAGAAAGAGTGGGCATGAGGCTGGGAGGTGGTGGCACACACCTTTAACCCCAGCACTCTGGAGGCAGAGGCAGACGCAGGTGGATCTCCACAAGTTTGAGGCTAGCCTGGTCTATGCAGTGAGTTCTAGGACAGCCAGGGATACACAGAAAAACCCTGTCTCCAAAGCCCGAAAAAGAAAAAAACAAAACAAATCAACAACAAAAGTGGGCTCAGAGGCTGGAGAGAGGCTCAGGAGTTGAGGCCTTTCGGAGGACCAACATCCACATGGAACATCTTGCAACTACCTGTAACTCTGGCTCTGGGGGAATCTGATACACCCTTCTGGCTTCTGAGGAACTGCACTTATGTGTACATATGTGCACAGAGGTGCATAATAAATATTAAAGAAATATTAAAGAAAAATAAAGAAAATGCAGGCATGTTGGAGATCCTGCTTCTAATTCCAGAGTTGCCGAGGAAGGAGGCAGAGACAGGCAGACCTCTGGAAGCTCACTGGCCAGACAGCCAAGTGTGCTTGGTGAAGTTCTAGGTCATTGAAACACTCAGACAGAAGGCAAAAGACACCCGAGGAACGACATCCAAGGTTGTCTGTTGACTTTCACAACCGTGGGCATGCTTGGATATACTGTGCCTCCCCCTCCCCCCACACCCTGCAAGCATTCGTTTTAATGCCTAGTGTCACTGCAACACTCAGTGATGCAGCTTTTGATGAGAGATTTCACAGGGCTTTGTGATGTTGATCAATTTTAGTTTTATTTGTTGAAGACAAAATACTTGCTCATAAAATCCGTCAGAGCGCCAGTGTAATTCACACGCACTTGTTAACTAAGAGGGTTACCTGGGTGTTCTTTTCGAAGGTAGTGATTGTTTAAAAAGCAATTCTAAGTGAGTACCTAAGTGTCCATCCACTGAGGATGAGCTATCGTTCTGTCTGGCTCTTCAGGGGCCTTCTTGAGGGCCATGTCTACGTTTACTATCCATTTCTCCTTTCTGCATCGTGCCCGAGTAAATCATGAGAGATACTCAGTGAATATTTGTTGAATGAATGAAGGAGCAAACAAAAGGAATAGCTGTATACTCTCTGCAGTGCCTAATGGAGCATTGCAGGTCAACATAGCTTCCACTACCAAATTTATATAAACCTAGTCATGTGTGAACAGGGAACTCAACTAAACAATGACCCAGGTCAGGTTGGCCTGTGGCCATGTCTGTGTACCACTGTGGGCGGTACAACCCCTACTTGGGTAACTGAGCAAGCCATGGGTATCCAGCCAGTAAGCAATATTCCTCCATGGTCTCTGCTTCAGCGTTTGGCTCCAGGTCCTGGCTTTGAGCTCCAGCCTTGGCTTCCCTTGGTGACAGACTGTAATCTGTAAGTTAAGTCAACCCAAGTATAACTGGAGTTTTTCTTGTCCTGCCAGGTCCCACTGCCCTTTCAGCCCCAAATAAGCACACAGACGCTATATTAATTATAAAACTGTTGGTCAATGGCTAGGGCTTCTTACTGGCTAGCTCTGTGTTAACTATTTTTGGCTGTGAGCCTAGCCTTTAATGGCTCAGCCATATCTCCAGCTGGCTCTGTGTTAATTGTTAACCCATTTCTATTAATCTATGTATTTCCACATGGTCTTGACTTACTGGAGAATGCCAAGACCTGTTATTCCTTTGTGGTCTACATGGCATCTCTTCTTTTTTGTGCTTCTCCCTGCCTACCTCTCCCAGAATTCTCCTCGTCTCCTAGTTCCGCCTATCTTCCTGCCTCTATTGGCCAGTGTTTTATTCATTGACCAATAAGAGAAACACATATACAGAAGGACATCCCACATCACCAAGTTGCTTTAGGTCATGGAGTTTAATCACAGCAACAGAAAACAAAAAGAACATATATATAAATATATGATACAGTTAATTGAACTGAATCACACTGATCACTAGAAACAAACAATTTATTCACAATTGTAAAATATGCTGGTGTCTTCAAACCTCAATATTGGACCACCGCCACCACCATCATCATCATCTCCAATTCAGCAGAAGTGCTCCTGTGTCAGTAGTTACTGAACTTTTTTCCGTTCTTTAAGAATAGTAACAAAATTTCCTGGCCTCAGCTTTGGGCAAAATTTGTATTTCTGTAATCTTATAATCATCCTAAGATTGTGCCCAGAATCTACAGAAAACAAGTTGGGGCAATACCTCTACAATGATGGAAGAATAGGAAACATTTTAAAAGCAGGTGGCTGGTAGACATCACTGCTCTGCTGCCTCAGACGTAAGTGAGTAGGGTTTTTAAGTATGTCACAGTCACTCTGACTGAGTAACAAATAACCCCATGGACAGTGGCTTAAAATGCAGGAGTCCCCTTTTCCTTTCTCTCTTCTTTTCCCTTCCTCTTTCTCTGCCATTCTTCATCTCTGTTCTCTCTCCCCTCTCCTGCCCCATCTCTCCCTTCTTCCCTCAAGTTCCCTCTGGATCAGATATTGGGAATGGGTACAGATGGATTTCTCAGACTTGAGGTGTTTCATACTGCTGCAGTTGGTGACTAGATGCAACAACCCAGGGGACCCAGGGCAACTGGGGACAGCTGAGGTCTCTTTTCACACAGTCACCTGGAGAATGAAGATCTTTTTTGTTTTTCTTTTTCTTTCCTTCTGTTTTGGATTTTTGAGACAGGGTTTCTCTGTACCTTTGGAGGTTGTCCTGGTACTCTCTCTGTAGACCATGCTGGCCTCAAACTCACAGAGATCTGCCTGCCTCTGCTTCCTGAGTGCTGGGATCAAAGGTGTGTGCCACCAACGCCTGGAGATCTTTTTCTTTTTAAAACATATATATTTTTATTTTTGTGTTGTAAGAGTTTTGCTTTTATCTGTGCATATGTGCATGCAGTGCTCACCAAGGTCAGAAGAGGGCATTGGATTCCCCTGGGACTAGAGGGGGTGAGCTGCCATGTGGGTGCTGGGAATTGAACCTGGGTCCTCTGGAAGAGCAGTCAGTGCTGTTAGCTGCTGAGCCTTCTCTCCAGACTCCACTTTTCCTTTTTGTCTCAGGGGACATTCAGGTGATTTCCCTATTTGAGTTATTGTGGCTGTGGGAATACAAATATGTCCTCATGATCCCAATTTCAGCTCTTTTGGATACATGACAGAAAGTGAGCTCGCTGGAGTGAATGGGGTTTACATTGTTATCTTTTGGAGGAACTTATTTACTATTTCTCATATCTGACTGTGGTGCTAACTTGTGTTTCTATGGTGATGAGTGATGTTGAACATGTTTCCATATACCTATTGGCCATCTGTATATCTTTTATGGATGTAGATCTTTAAACAGATACAAATATCTGTTCAAGTTCTGTGCACAGGTGTGCTTGTTTTGACGCATGGTTTTCTTATGCTACATAAGCTGGACTTGAACTCCTTGTATCCAATGGTCCTCCTGCCTCAGCCTCCAGAGTAGCTGAGACATCAGGTATTACTACTCTATCTGACATCTGCCCGTTTTAAAACTGGTTGTCTGTTTTTCTCATTGTTCCTCCTTCCTTGACAGGAATTCCTTACATATCCTGGATATTAACTTTTCTCAGTTATAGTCTGTGGATATTTTCTCCCATTCTGCGGACTGCCTTTTCACCCTGTTGATTGTTTCTTTTAGATTGCCTGTCCATTTGCATTCATCTAGGACTTCCTTGCAGCAAGGCAGCCATAAATCAGCCTTTTCATAGTGACTCAAGACTCTGGTCTTTGCATTCCAGAGGACAAAGTGGACTTGCGCCACCTTTTCCTGCTTGGTCATGTAATGTTATTTCTTCCTCATTTGACTATGTTAGAATTGGGTCTGGGGTCTTGAGAAAATGACCACACAATCCAAAGTATTTCAGGAAGACAAAAAGGTTTTCTTCTGCAGGGTGGCATGCTTTCATCCCTAAACAAGCAAGCAAGCATGCCCTGCAGGTATCCCACTGAACTTTTGTGTCTAACTCCAAGGGTCCTGTGCCTCACTCTGAGTGGCCAGAACTCAGCCTCACATTGTTATGCTTCTGGCTAACGTAGGCAATGCAGCTGGTAAACCGAGAACAGGATGCAACACTGAGCACATGCTTTGATCTTAGCAAACTGCTGCCTGGGGACAGGTGGTGTCTTTACAAAGTTCTTTAAAGACAAGCTAATGGCGTCTCAGTTAAACCTTTGATATAAATGATAATGTATTTCGTTTACATCCCCACAACTTAGAAGCCAATCTAACTCTTCAGGACTCTATGGGGAGGGAATTAAGCTCCCCCTGTTTGTGTGGTTGGTAAAAATTTTGGGATAACTGAATTGTGTCCTCTCAAATTTTAATGTATTGAAGTATTAGCCATCAACACATAAGAATGTGATGCTATGTGGAATAAGATCGTGATAGATATAAGGCTAAGATGAGATCACCAGCCTGGAACCTGATCTAGTGTGACTGATGTCCTTGTGAAAAGGAGACACGTGGGTTAGTTGGCACTCATCCTTTAAGTACTTTCCAGGCATGAGGATCCGAGTTAGATCCCAGAATCAGAGAGAAAAGTTGTGTGTGTGACACACCCCTGCAATCCCAGCAATGGGCAGGTGGAGAGAGGAGGATCCCTGGGTTTGATGACCAGCCAGTTTAGCCAATCAGCAAGCCCCATGTCCCAATAAGAAACAATGTCTCATCAGAACAAAGTTCTACGGAAGAGCACTGCATGTGCTCCCTCTACATGTGCATGCACACGTGCACTCATGACCACATGCATCAGTTTACCTGTGCACATGCCATGCAGATTTGTGGACACAGAGAGGCACACACACAGAAAGTACCATGTGAGGATGAAGGAGGAGACCAAGGCTGTGCCTCTGTGAGCCAATGAAAGCCAGGGATTGTCAGCAGCCACCAGAAGAGAGGAACAAAAGTAGATCATTCTCCACAGTCCTGCAGGGCCCAAGCCTGCCTGCACTTTCATATTTTACTTCCAGCCTTTAGAACTCTGAGATAGAGAAGGGGCTGGAAAGACGGCTCAGCAGTTAAGAGCACCAGCTTCTCTTCCAGAGGACCGAGGTTCAGTTCCCAGCACCCACACGGCTGCTCAGACCAATTGCAACTCCAGACCCAGGGGGATCCAATGCCTTCTTCTGGCTTCCATGGGCACCAGGTGCACTGCACATCACACACACACACACACACACACACACACACACACACACACACGTAAAAACATCCATGCACATAAAATATTCTGAAAAGAAAAGGAAGTATGAGAAGATTTAACTCAGTTTATAGTACTTTGTTATATTTCTAGAAAGCTTGGGCAATGTGGAGTGGAGAAACATTGTGAACATTTTGAAATTTTTGATCTGTTCCACAAATCATCAGGGAAATATCTGTGTGTTCTCTTAAGTTTCCAATCCTATTTCACCCCCATGGTTTTTATGATTAAAAAAATAACCTTGATAATTATTTGTAATGTCCATGGCTTAATTTTCTATTTTATTTTACACAAAAGAAGAGATTTAGGGCTTTGTTTGGCTATAATTATTTTTTGAGACAGGGTCTTGCTGTGTACCTCTGTGAGGCCTGGTACTGACGATGTAATGTTCACTGTCCTCAAAGCTGTAGCAGCCCTACCTCAGCATCCTCAGGATTACCCGCATGCACCATCACGCCCAGTCAGACTTAGCTTGGATTGCATTTCACTGTTAGACACTGCCATTCTGAAAATAACCGGTCTTAATCTCTTTTTAGGTCTTATCACGAGGGGATCAATGGAAGTGAAGGCAAATGACTTTTACTCACCCTGTCAGCGTTTTAACGACACGGTCGCTCTTCTAGTTGACCCTATGGAGGAATACAACACTACCTGTACCCCTGAATCCCACCCTGGAAAATCTACAACTGTCGAAGAGGATCCAAGCAGGGAAAACTCTCTAAACCACACTTGCGGGACTATGGGAAACTCAAGTAACTGTACTCACGTGTCCTTGCACCTAGCAATGGATGTGAAATGTAAGTTTGAAAGAAAATGAGAGGGAAGGGGAGAAGTTGGGCATCCACACTTAAAATTAAGAAAGGACTGTGAAATCCACCAGAAGTCAAATGACTGAAGAATTTCATTGCAGAAATAATACCGCTCCGAAGAATACTAATCTTTTTACCCGTTTGCTTTTCTCTCAAAGTGTGTCTTTTTAAAATATTTATTTATTTCATGAACATTGGTTCTTTGCCTGTCTGTATATCTGTGTGAGGGTGTTGGATCACCAGGAACTGGAGTTCCAGACAGTTTTGAGCTGCTATGTGGGTGCTGGGAATTGAACCCAGGTCCTCTGAAAGAGTCTCCAGTTCTCTTGACCACTGAACCATCTCTGCAGCCCCTTAGAGTGTGTTTTGATGGGACTCAGTCACAGCCTGAGACAGAGGCGGTACGTGTGGGCTGTGATCTGAGGGACACTAGAAAGGTCCTCTGTCCTAGGATAACTGCGGTATGCCTGGTGTCTGCACTTGATGGAAAGCCAACACACCTCAGTACTCAGAGGTGGGAGTTCTTTTAAAAGGAGAACACCCACGCATGCTACACTATTAAAGTTGCCTTTGAGCCAGGTTAATGCATCCTCTCAGAGCTGACACAGCTTGGGGTTAAGGAGTTTTCGGATGCGGTGCTGTGCAGATCAGGCTCTTGGAGGGCCACTGGCTGATTCTGAGGGGAAAGACATTTACATTCTGTTCAAGGATGATTAGATTCTTTGCATTTAGTTAATGTTCTCTGGTAAGCTGCTTGTCTCCACCTCACCCATAAAACTATTATTAGAAAACATTTTATGACATATTCATTTAGTGAGTGTCTTCTGTATGTCAAGTACCATGACCAGATGGGGGCCCAGAATCAGATGAACATAAAACCAGAGAAAAGAATCACACAGAAATTAATGTCATCACCCTCTCTCCCCCTCGCCCCCGTCAAGGGGCAGGTGCTACCACAGAACTGTTTGCTAGGCATTTTGGTACTCCAAAAAGATGGAAACCTTCCCCATCGCTTTACAATGCTTTTCTAAAGTTTAATCAGCCTAAAGGCAATTAATATTTTAAAATTATGTTTATAGCAAACATAGATATGTATATGGTGTAAACTCCTCAAATGGTACAGTCAGCTGGGGACCAAGTGTTCGGTCACAGGCATCTCTGGGGACCACATAAGCTGTAACACTGGCAGAAGCAGGGTCTGATCACTCATCTCCCTGGCCCTCATTGGCTTAGCCCAGTCCTCTGTCTCTCTCTGACTTCCATTGCCGCCCCATGTCCCTTGCTCCTGTTGACCTTTGTTAATTGGAGGGCACATTTGTGGGCTGCATGGCCCATGACCAAGATGATGAATTGCACACAGTTCTGATGCTAAGGCTACTTTGTAGCACTCTGGACGTACAATAAGAAAATTGATATTGGCATCACCTGGAAGCAAAATTGAACGTCAGGATTTTGAATTAAATGGATCCCTGGGAGCCACTGGGCCAATTTCCTCATTTAGTAGCTTCATTTAATATATTGGAAAAGTGTTCAGGAGAGCAAGTGTCCCTGTTGCAGTTAAGGCAGCAAACAGCTTTTCCATTGAAGGCACATACCACCACTTTGCCTCCTGTCTGATGCTCTATCTCATTGTGCTGAATTTTCTTATTTTGTATATATTTATTTGTGTGTACATGTACCCTGTGGCACATGAGTAGAGGTCAAAGGACAACCTTAGGAGTTGCTTCAGGAGTTGTCAAGTGCCTATGTCCGCCACCTTTATTGATTTTATAGTGCCTTTATTTTTTTAAATTTTTACAGCTGTCACTTGTTCCGTGAAGATCACTTGGTACATTTTAGTGCTATTAGTTTTTATGCTCAGCATCATCCTCATTATCCACAAAATCCTTGAGGACCACAGGAGAACGCAGAGGTGGCCGAGTAAGTACTGAGAAGTAAATCCATTGTTGTGTGCACGGCCTTGCCCAGGGAAATGTGTACCAACACCTGTGTGCCCTAGTTCTGTCGGCCACTTTCTGTGTGCCTGCTGTGTGTAAATGCTGGCTATGGATAATCTAAGAGGCTGAAATATAGGGAGGGCAGCAGCGCGGGCCTTTCTCCACATGGACAGGCAAATGCAGAAAAGGAAGGACCGGGTGGAAAGGAGTCAGGGCGGCGGCTGGGGGGGGGGCTAGTGGAAGTGAGGGTAGATAGAGGCGGAAGAAGGTGGGGTGACACTTGCAGAGTTAGAGACCCCGAGCAGAGTGGCCTCCAGGGAACAATCTGAGTGTAAACAATCCTTGATAAGTATAGGGGGTGTCGGTAGAGTTTGGGAGGGACAGAACCAAGAGGAGTCTTTTAAGTCAGGATGGTCAGAGCAGTGTTAAACAGGTTTAATGCTATGACCTGGCATTCTCCTATCAGAATGGACTGTTAATGTACGTGGGCATATACCGACTGTGTATCAGACTTGGTGGACAGTTGTTCTGTAAGCACTTGATCTCTTAAAGACAGTATGAAAAGCATCACCTTGGTAACAGGCTCTGAAGACACATTGACTCAAGTCAGATCCCCATGTTGCCACCTACAGCCTTGAGTGAGTTCCTATGACCAAGCATAGCTTTCTTCGACTGTCCTATGGTGTACCTGCCTCTGCCACATGGGGCTGGGGTAAAGACTGGAATAAAGAGATCACCCAAGGAGTTGAATAGTGTCAGGGCACAGTTAATTCTCCCCTCCCGCCTCCTCTCTGGTTTTTTAAGATGGGTTTCTCTCTGTAATAGCCCTGGCTGTCTTGAAATTCACTTTGTAGAGCAGGCTGGCCTCATACTCACAGAGATTCACCTGCCTCTGCCTCCTGAGTGTTGGGATTAAAAGGATGTGCCCCCCACCCAGATTTGTCTTTTCTCTTTTTTGGTTGAAGGATTGTACTATGGCCAGGCACGTTCACTTTTTAGGCTCTTCTGTTCTTTGACAGGCAAGGTTGTTAGTCACCACAGCAAGAGAATAAGTAATGATCGGTGGCAGACAAGCAAGGGTGCCATTGATTCTCCAGGTTAAGACTTTGTTCTGGGGATTTTTTTTTAGAGTAGTTTCAGACCAAGTCTTATCTCTGACACCTTAGTAATAAAGGCCTGAAGTGTCATGGTTAATGACATATCCAAGTTGTGTACTTGTATAATGACTACTTTCCTTAGATGATCAAAGTGTGTGTCCTGGATGGCCTTAGCTGTCAACTTTTACACAGCCTAGAATAACCCCAGAAGGGAGTCTCAAGGCAGGGGTTGCCCTGGTCAGATTGGCCTTTGGGTGTGTCTGTCGGGTGGTGGGGCTGTCATGTCGTAGTTGATGCAGGAGGAGGCCCACCGTGGACAGCCCCCTCCCTAAGCAGGTGGTTGTGAACTGCATAAGAAAAGCAGCTGAGTACAAGTTAGTCTGTGTGCCAGCTAGCAGGCGGCAGCCCCCATGGTTCCTGCTGCACTTCCTGGCCGAGAAGTGAGTTCCCTGGTGGGAGGTGGCAGGATGCAGAACAGTAAGCAAGCTTGACTCCCCTCAATGCTGAACCATGACCCGGAAGTAAAAGACAAATAAGGCCTTTCCCGTTTTTATCTTAGTATTTGTCACGGCCACCGAATGAACCAGAAAAGAATGTAAACGGTACAATTGGGTTTTTTTTGGTTGTTGTTGTTGTTGTTTTGTGTTTTGCATGAAAAGGGGAAAACTCCCAAACTCAGAAAAGTTAGCAGCTTTGTCCAAATCTACACAATTAATAAAATGCCAGAGTAAAGCCTTGATATCTTCTAGGCATTGAAATCTTTGTTAGTTTAGGCAAATATGTGGTAGCTGAAAATAATTCATACTTCTATGTTTCTTGAACTACTTTCCATATATGAATGCAGGTTGAGAAAGTAAGAGACCAGGCAGGAAAATGCCTAGAAGGACATGGGTCACAGTAGGAAGCACATTAAATTCTTTCAAACGTTTAGCCAGATGACAAACATGATGACTTTCAAAGGTTTCCCTTGCATGCTTAAGCATAAAAAGCAATGGAAAAATATCATAGTGCTCATGCCACTAGATATAATTGGTCTGCAATGCTTCCCAAATATTCTGTATATCATATCCATATGATATATATATATTTATGTATGTATAGTATTTTGCAAATACAGGCTGGTGCTTTTCATTAGCAGATAGACATGACAGGATTTATGGTGGTGGAGAAACTATCGGTTTTTTGTTATTGTTATGTGGCTTTTTGTTTGTTCGTTTGTTTTGAGACAGAGGCTCACTGTGTAGCTCTGGCAGGCCTAGAATTCACAGTGTAGACAAAGCTGACCTTGAACTCACTGAGATGTATCTGCTTCTGCCTTCAGGGTGCCCGGGTCAAAGGTGTGTGCCCACATGCCCACATGAAAGAAGACAAGGATAAAAGCCCTTGATGCCTGTTGCCCTGCACCCCTTTGGTGCTGCAGACCGACCTCCTTGTGATAATCCTATCTCTGTGATAATCCTTCAACGAGCACAGGGAATGCCATGAGAAAGTGATTTTGGAAGGGAGTGGCACGGGGGACCACTATGTAGTCCAGCCTGCCTTCAAACTCAGGATGCTCCTGCCTCAGCCCCCCAAGTGCTGCAATTAGAGGCCTAGACCACGGAAGCTGTGCTCTCTGCCATCTAAATATTTAATTTCTTTTCTTGGAATAGGTCATAAATACAAATCTACATCCGTTCTCTTAAGAGGAAGTGACTCCAAGGAGCTGAGCGCTTTGAACTCGAGGGTTATTCCAGGTGAGTTCTGCAGCACTTGACAGCACAGGACTGGGAATTCCCAAACCACACCCTCTCCGGTACAGTGCAAACTCGAGATCCGAGTTCATTTTGAGTCCCCATGAGTTCAGAATAAAGCAACGTGGGCAAATGAAATCCAGCTTAGAACGTCTCATTATCAGGGGACAGTTATGATAAAAGCTACCTCCTTAAATAATGGAAAGTTTGCCTAATTGGCAAGAAGACGCTCGTGTGAGTAGGCAAGGGAGAGTACGCCATGGGGAATGAGCTTGGGATTTATTTTTAAATGAGACAAGATACCATTATTTCTCAGAATTGCAAGATGTAATTGCAGAGTGGGCAGAGCTTATGCTGGGGCCTTCTCTTCACGGGGCGTCATTGTGCAAAGAGAACTTCTAATAGCCTCAATTAAAAAGCCCCCTGTCCTCTGCCAAGAAGCAGGGAGGGAATTAGGCATCCTAATTAGAGCAGCTAAGGGGGCTGTGAGCACAGACACGCGCTGGTACCAACTTCATCTCGTTCTAATTGTGAGGCCTCCTTTAGAATCCCTGCTGTCAAACCACATTAAAAAGAAAGGCGATGACATGGACAGGGGAAAGGTCCTTTTCCTTCACCAAAGAGAAAGGATTTTTTAAGAACTGGAAACCCAACCTTGGCCAAGCTAGGCAAGCACGCTACACCACTGAACTATGTTCCCTCAGCAGCCCCCCCCTTTTTAATTTTGAGGCAGGATTGCACTAAATAGCTGAGGCAGGGTTCAAACTTGTGACCCTCTCACCTCAGTATTATAGGCCTGTGTCACAAGGCCTGGCTTGTATTTCATTTTAATCTCCTCCAGTCTGTGCAACAGTTCCTGGCTTTTTTCCCTCTTTCTCTGTCAGACAAGGTCTTACTATGTATAGCCCAGGCTGGCCTCCTGTCTCAGCCCTGCATGTGGTAGGATTATGCTCATATGCCTGGCAAGAAAGAATACTTTTGACTCCTTGAAAAACCACAGAATTGGGTGATGTTACTCATATTCTTTGTCTCCAGTGGGTAAGCAGTCCCTTTGCATTTGGTGAGAAGCTTACACAAAGGAAGCTTCAGATCTGGTGTGTAAACTCTACATGAGAGGAAGCTGGACAACTCCCCGCCTTCAACTGCAGGGCAGCAGCGGTCACCTATGGACACTTCCAACATTTAACTGGGGACCGTGTGCCCAAGGCTTTTGTTAGCCACCAAAACAGGCAGTCACACAGACCCTCAATCTGGGAACAAATTAGCCTGGGTGCTAAATACTCTATACTTCCAAGTTGGAATCAGCAAATTATTAGGCTGTGGTTAGTTGTAAATACTAGTTAGAAGACACTCATCAACAGCTGTCTAGGAGTCAAGTTTATGGAAATCTTGTGTGGCTCACAAAATTTTGTTTAATTAATGATATAAAAAATCCCTGGAGTTGTTTTAAGGAGAAAAATAGTTTTTGTAAAGGGAGACAATGAAGATTCTTCTGTTCGTCTCTCTTGTCTAGTATACCTGCCCGCACTCCCGGAATGATCCAACCCAGCTCTGCCGAGTTCTGACTGTCTGAGGAAGTCTGGCCATTTCTGTTTCCTAGCCATATTTCCCAGCACAGCACTCTTGTCTGAGAACAAGTCAATTGTTCCCCTGTCACCTTAGATAACTGCGGGAGTCACAAATTTTAAGGCCTGGCTAGCCACAAGATGAACCTCACAAGTTATATTTATGAGCCTGTGGTTTTCCTGCACCCAAAATGAAGCAGCCTCAGGTCTGCCTTCTCTGTAATGGCTCTCACTAAAAACCCTCCGGCTTTATTAACAAGCATACAGTAGTAATGTTCAGGGCAGACCCAGGGTGATGACCCTTTTTTTTTTAAAGACCGAGAATCCTTTTGAGGTTTAGCACCTTCAAAAGGAAAAGCAGTAGGTCATTCTTTTTATACTCTTTAATTCAAGCGCTCCCCATTCCTCTTTCTAAGCTGCTCTTTCTGAGAGAGAAGTGGAAAGAAAATCATGTCTCCCCTGAGCGCTGCCTTTAAGGCTGCTCTTTGTGGTGATGGATTATAAGCAGCCGCACGAGGTAAGGGGAAACGTGCCCACGTGAGCCTCTCTGGAAATGCAGTGACATGAAGAAAAGAAAAGGAATTCCAAAAAGCGAAGCCTGTGTGTCACAGTCAACAGAGTCTGTTGTCAGCGCTAGCCACACAAGTGCACATTCACTGAGGTGTGGAGAGGCTCATCCATCCCCAAATCATCCATCCTCTAAAAAAGGAACAAAGGGGACTCACGAGGATCCTATCTGCACAGAACCTGACACCTATTAGAGGCACATGGAAGAAACCTGCCTCTGACAGTTCCCTGTTTGCCTGGGAAGCATGATGGCTCATGTCTGTCCTGGTATTAATTTCATTAACATCTTATTCATTCAGTTATTATTGTCACATGGGTGATGGCTTTGCTTTGCCTATCCTTGTATCCTTCACCTTAGCATAGCTTTTGGGGTGCTATTCATTCACGATGAAAGTTTATGGAACAGCCCAGCCCTAGGAAGAAATGGGTATAGAGAAGGGGACGTGAGCATGAAATCAATCTTGCCAGGTGTAATGGCACACACCTTTAATCCTAGCACTTGGGAGGAAGAGACAGGCTGATCTCTGTGAGCTCGAGGCCAGATTTCATCTGTATAATGAGTTCCAGTACAACCTGAGATACATAGTGAGACCCTGTCTTGAAAATACCAGAAATAAATTTAAAAATTAGAAAGAAATGAACCTTAAGGATGGGAAAAATGAATGAACACAGAGTAAGAATGATCAGAAGGAACATAAGTCTCTTCACTGAAAACATGGACAGCAAATGCTGTAGAATTGCTAAGGATATCAAAGAACAATGAGAAACAATGACCATTTTAAGAAAGGCATTTTAAAAGAGTTTTTATTTGTGTGTGCGTGTGCACGTGCATGCACGATTGCCCACAGAGTTCAGACAAGGGTGTTGGATTGCCAAGAGCTCGAGTTACAGGTGGTTGTAAGCTGCCTGATATGGGTTCTGGGACCCAAATCCAGGGCCTTTGGAAGTGCAGTGAGCACTGCTAACTTCCAAGCTATCCTTCCAACACTCGAGGAAGGCATCCTGAGAAATATTAGCTGCTTTTTGTTGCTGTGAGAAACAGGATCAGAAACAACTTACAAAAGGAAGGATTTACTTCTGTTTATAGTTCCAGAGGGATGAGAGTCCATCATGACAGGGAGGAGCAGTAGCAAGTGGAAGGCTCAGCAACAGAAGCAGGAAGCTGAGCGCTCACATCTTCAAACCCGAAGCATGAAGCAGAAAGAGCAAACTGGAAATGGTGCGAGGGTTTAAATTCTCCAAGCCGGCCTCTGAGAATGCACATCATCCAACACGGCCTTACTGCCCAAGCATTCCCCGAAGAGTACCATCAGCTAGGGACCAGATGCTTGCACATGTTCAATGGGAGATATTCTCATTTAAGGCACCATGGTGGCCTTAAAATATGTCTGTAAGGACTACAGCTTTTGCCTAGCATGAGAAGGATCCTAGATTCAACCTCAAGCAATACAAAAAAACCAACAGCATCATCAACCACAAAGTCCTCTAGAAACATTGATTGATGGGTTGACTAGAAAGGGAAGCCAAGACCAAGGTCCTAGGAAGTGGCCTAGGACATAAAGAATTGGATGTAAGTACTGCAAAGCCACTTTGACTGACTGAAAAAGACTAATTAATTGGGGAATCAGTAAGCTGCCTGTAGAAGCCTTAGGAAAATTAAAAAATCTGATATTAGAAGATAAATAAGAGTTTAGGAGGCCAAGAAGTCAAGCAATACAGCCCAAAGTCATAGCCTGGGAATGCGGTGACAAGAAAGTACTTCCTGGTATCTCTGCTGTTGGGTGTGCCATTTGGCCAGATGGCAGCTTTGTGTCCTTCCCTGGATCACGCACCCAAGGACAAGCATCTGGAAGAGGAGTTGCCATCTCTTTGGATTTCTGAGTTCTTTTTAAAAAGTTTTAAAATGTATTTTTATTATGTGTGCACGCCTACTTTTCTGTACGTGCACCATGTTCATGCAGTGCCTATGGAGGCCAGGAGGGGGCGTCAGATCCCCTGAAGCTGGAGTTACAAGTGGTCATGTGCTATCTAATGTAAGTTCTGGGAACCTAACCTGGGTCATCTTCAAGAGTAGCAACAGCTCTTAATTGCTGAGCCATCTCTCCAGCCGCTGCCTTCTGTGTTCTTGAGAGGACCTGTGAGATGACCCCCTGCTTTCTGGGCAGCCATTATGTAATAGCCACACCAGGTTTCGGTATCATTGCTTCCACTCATCATTGCTTCTACTTACTCCAGCTGCCTGAAGGGGAGCCACTCCATATGCCTCAAATGGTGAAACTGTCAAAACTCTACACTCGTCTCCTTTAATTCTCTAACAAAGTTTAACTGAACACTGACCACCTGCCAACCATCACTGCAAACATTGGTATTCCAGGCGCAGTTCCTCCTCCACGGGCCCCCAACACAGTTAGAGAGAATCTCCTCCAGGCTGCCTTTGGAAAAGGCTGCCCTGTCATATCAAGGACTGTGCTGCTATTGTGCTGTAATTTCACACAAATCAATTTACTGAATTTCATATGCGTTTCGCTCTTCTTCTAATGAGAAAACGGAACCCAAAAGAGATTAAGTAACTGGTTTACTGGCTAAAGCCACTAGTCACACATGAAGCTAAGACAATGGAATTTTATGGTGAGCAATTGATTGAAGTTACTGGTTTATAGGTAGTGCCTACCAGAGTCAGGATTTAATCAGTTCTTTCCAAACAGGGTATTCTGTGGCATAGTAGCCAACGGGAATGACGACCTGGGGAATCAGGCTGGTTCATATCAAAACTCTTCTTGCTTTACACATTTAACCCTGGCAATGGAGATGAAACATGTTCCCTCTAGAAAGCTGTAGCGGCTTGTGTGACAATGTGAGTCCCCGCAAGAGGCATTTCAGCTTTGGTTGAGAGCATTTTCTCGCCTGCAGTTAGTGTGGGTGGGCTCTAAGATAACACAGAGAAGAGAAAATGGACTTTTACTGTGAAAGAGGTTGTCGGGGGAATGGCCCGATTCATAGTACCCCAAATAAAACTAATGGCAATATAAAGTTATAATTCCCAGCATGTTTATGGCCAGGATAATAGAGACTGTGAAGGTTTCAATTTCCTGCAGAAGAGAAGATAAATGGCTGGTGCCAGATGTTCTGCAACTAAGCAAGATAACATGAAAGTTTAAATTTTTACTTGCTTTACCCATAATATTGATGACTCTTAAAATGCAGGTTGGGTCCATAAAGCAGAGAAGGTTTATAGCTATCTGCTTGGTTATAGGCTAGATCAAAATGCAAGGGATGCCTTTCTTTGTACGAAGAAATGCATAAGTGTGAAGAGTCCACAGCTGGAATAGAATGATTTATTACAGGCATTCATCAACTGCCTCTATGTGACAGCTATTCATACCAGCTCTAGAAGAACAGATTGCAGAACATATGCTTTGAGCATGTCCTCCATCATTCCCCTCTGGCTTCCCTTGCTACCCACCATGTACATCCCCATTCCAACCCTAACTTTGTCTTGTGATCTGGGCTTAACTGACACTTTCCAAGACAAATAAAAATAATCACAAAAATTAAGTAATTAAGTTATCAAAATGTTTGCAAGAAGGAGGACCTGAATTCAAGGATAGCCAGGACCTGTAGAAAAAGGCTGTCTGTGGCGACAGAGACAGGCAGATCCCTGGGGCTCACTGGCCAGGCAGCCTGGCCTACTTGGGTGAGCACCAGGCTGCTTCAAAACAGAGCAGCAGCACAACATGGACAGGGCCTGAAGAGGACTGACATGTCTGACTGCTACACGCATACACACATGTTCATTTGTGCACACACATCCACATGCCTGCACACACACAAGTACCCACCCACACACTCCTTTCACGTACACAAAAAGTAAAATATAACTGAATAAGTAGTTTGGAGGCAAGCACATAAAAAATTGATGGCAAGAGCAGGCTTCCCAACCAAGAGAAGGCCTGGATCTGTTCTCCTCTGGATGGCGGACCTGGTGTCGGACAGGAAACCCACCAGGGACAAAGCCATGCGAAAACACCTTTCAGGTTACACGGAGGGAATACAAAATTACACTGGAAGGATGAAATGCGGTTAGATCCCAGATGTCTCAGATGTAAAAGACCTTTGAAAAGGGATAGAAATCTTTTTGTTTGGGGGTGGGGGAGAAGCATTGCATTGCAGGGCAGCCTGGACATCGACAGGGCAGTGTGATAAGGCCTTTTTTCTACCGTGGCAATTCATTCTCTTTGTGAGACTCAGTCAGGTTGAAATTCACACTGTGGTGCTTTTAAAATTATAAAGCCCTGTGGAGGTTCCTGAAAAAACATCAAGTGTTTGGGTGAGAGAATTGACAAATTCCTGAAAAGACATTTATGATGTCTTAAAATATTTCTGACAGTTTGTGGTGCCTTAACTAGCGTTGGTGAATTAATAGTATTTGAAAGAAGTCCTATTTTGCAGTGTAGTATGAGAGGAAAAATCTCACCTGTCTTAGCTATTCTGAAGAAGGTATTAAAATGACACATCATCTATCTGACTTTGGATGTTTTTTTAAAGTCGATTTATAGAAGTTTTGCTATTAGCATATGAATTGCATGACTTTGGATACTAGGGGAAACCAAAGATAATGTACCACTAGGGAATATTCCATACCAGCCATCATTTTGACAGTAATAGCTTTCCATACTACAGTATGGTTATACCGCGCTATAAAACATCCACACACTAAATCCATAAGCAGACAACGACGAGCAGTTGGCTCTCCAGCCAGAAGGGTTTTATTAATTCTCCATGATAATTATTTCACTTTATGAATAGGCTTCTTTGATATGACCTTTAAGAAGAACAGTCTTCAGATCTCAAATTACAGAAGGCCTGAGACGTCTTGTCAAGGGCTGTCTATGCAATTATTTGCACAGAAAATTTATTCCAAAAGGCTTCATAGGAAGTCTAGAAAATTCCAGCTCCTAGGTGTCTAGGAATGGACAGTCAAATCCAATAGATCTGGGACAGAACCCAAGAACCTGTGTTTTTCTTTTAAATGATTTATTTTATTTTTATTTTTTATGTGCATTGGTGTTTTGCTTACATGTATGAATATATGAGGGCATAGGGTCCCCAGAAGTGAAATAACAGGCATGTAGGTGCTGGGAATGTCATCATTGCCTCTGGTGACATTTAGGCAGAGACTCTGTTGGTCAATATATTAGTTTCTGCTGTGTAACCAATCACCGCAAACTTAACAGCTTAACATAATGTATATGTGTTATCCCTGCTTCTGCATGTTGAGAGTTGAGTATTCCTTAGCTGAGCATGGCTTAGCTCAGAGACTCCCAGAACTGAAATCTAGAGGCCAGCCACGCTGCAGGCTCATCCAGAGGCCCTGCTTCCAAGGTCACCCCTGGCAGAATTCACCTCCTTGCTTCGGTGTACAGAGACCCTTGGCTTCTCACTGGATGTGTACCAAGGCCTGTCACAGCCCCTTCCTGTCACCTGCAGTCCCACATGGCTGTTTGCTTCTTTAACCCAGCTAGAATGTCTCTGATGTTGGGATCTTGATCTGAGAAGACCTGGTCTCTCTTTGGAGAGCTTTACTATGAAATCAGGACATGACCCACTCAAGATAATCAATCTCCCTTTCCATCAGCTCAAAACCAGACAGTCTGGGATGCTGACTACATCTGTAAATCACTTCATATTCCTCCAGTAATAAAAGCTAATCACGGTTTTGAGGAACTTTGGTGTGAGGCTGGACTGACAAAAGTAGTACACTTCATGTGGCTGGTATTTACCGTCCATGAAATAAAATCAAAAGATGCTCGGGGCTCAAGGGCAAGGGTTCTGTGAGGAGACACAGGAGATGGTGGCTCCTGGCCCAGGTAGAGACTGTTTCATGTCTCATCTGACTCTTGGTTGGGGACGTTTTGCCGTTTTACCCTTTAGAAGACTAAATGTGGGGTAAATGCTAATTTTAATGGCGATTTTGCACTGCTTCTGATTGTATTCTCAGGAAACAGGGTTTGAGAAGCTGGAGGGAGAAATGGAGGCACACACACACACACACACACACAGAGTTGAGTGAAGTGTGTTTAAAGTATTAGAACCATCCAAAGGAAATTGAATGAGCCATAGAAACTGCCCAAATCCTTTTTAAATGGAGGGCAGGGTTCTCTTCCAACACATCCGCCTTACAAGCTCTCTTTGTCTTGCTATTGACTGACACAGCTCTCTGTCTTGAACTGTAGAGTCCACTCGAGGGCTGCCGTCAGCACAGGTCATGGAGCTGCTTCCCCCAATACCAGAACTTGAAGTCGCCTCTGCAGGGCACCAGCCAGATCAATACACAGGTGAGTGATGCTCAACCTTATTGACAATTGGACTCTGCGTTATAAACATGAATGGCTTCAGGGACCCCTGCTTGACCCTCATCAGCATCGCTGTCTGGGTGGCAGACACAGAAGTGATAAACTCGAGGAGCCACCCACTGGAATCAGGTGACACAAGCTGAAGTGCCCATTTTCTCCAAGATTTAGGAAGGATTAGAAAACTAATCTCTCAGTCTATTTGACTAATCTCTCTATCTGTTCAACTGTCCCTGAAATGTCAGCTCACCCCTTGGCATCCCTTGTCTTGGAGTCCAGCTGTAAATCAGTCAGAGCCCGAGAAAAGGGAGCGTGAGATTTGTTCAGGCGAGCCCATCCGCCGAGTCATTGAAATAAAACTTTAAGTTTAGCATCTGGTATTCTAGATGAATGTGCCTTGATTTAATATATTCTAATCTAAAGCTGTGCTCAGAAGTGTCTTCGAGATGCTTTTCGTTCATTCATCAAATGTGTATTAAGTGACTACAATGGCGTACGGCCACCTACAGTATGTAAAGATGGTAACAGAAAGTGTCTCTGGGCACCTCCCATTGTGCTTTATTGTGGCTGGCCATGCCACAAAGACTTCATAGTACTTGAGAGGTCATCGGTCCAGGCTCTAGCAGGAAACGGGTGTTTTATTCAAATTGATTAAGTCAAGGAGAGTTTAATGAAGGGTCTATTAAGCCAAGATGTGGAAACTCCAGAGAGAGAGAGAGAGAGAGAGAGACAGAGAGACAGAGACAGAGAGAGAGAGACAAAGACAGAGAGAGAGACAGACAGACAGACAGAGAGAGAGAGAGAGAGAGAGAGAGAGAGAGAGAGAGAGAGAGAGAGAGAGAATAACAAAAAACAAACCCTAGCCTTCCTTTTCTCAGATGTGCTAATGTTCTCCGTTGGCCAAGGCCAAGCAGGGATAGACAGACTAAGCTAAGCCGAGGTGGCCTGTGCATGTGCAGCCTTCGCGCAATGCACCACGCAGGTGGAAGGAAGTGGAGAACAGATCTGGAAAGGTAATTAAAGATCCTGCCCTAAGGCCCGGTATGCAACGTGGAAACCTAGCGACGTGGATCCGTTTGTGTTCAAGAAGAAAATCTGGCAGCACTTAGTGTGGTCAGGGTCTGCTGCTAGCTAGAAATTCCTGGGTCTGATTAATTGAATGTGCCAAGAAATGTCTTCCTGAGCCCTAATGTCTGATTCCTCCCACGCTGGTCCTCATGCCATAACTGTTCAAGCTCACAGTTAAACACGTTCCACTTTGGTTACTTGCCTCAAATATGAACTCTGTGTCAAGAACTCCACTCCTTGACAATTAGTGGGGAAATCAGAGAAACTGCGATCCCAGTGACAAGTGTAAAGTGACATGGGGTCTAGAAGAGTTGACGGTAGAGCGACAGTCAGAGGACAAGATGCCCAGCTTTTGCTAGATCCTAAAAAGACATGGAGTGGAAGAATCATTTCATCGCTGTCCTACCAGCCATGTGTTGTCTTAACAGAGAGAGATCTCTTACGTTTCCATTGAGAAGGGGCCAAAAGTCCTTGGTGGCAGAGGCAAGAGGAATCCCTAGGTTTCCTCTGTCCTATGCTTGCAAGTTTCTCATCACTCCAATGCTGTCTTTTTAGGGATGCACTAGGAGCATCATTGTATAACACAGTAGTGGATGGAGCTCCTAGTTAGCAACAGAAGGAAGGTGTTTCATATTATAGGATATAGTGCTTGAAATGAATGATTAAAAAATGTTCTCTACCAATTCTAATTTTAGACAATACTTAAGAAACAATTTAGGTGAGTAATACTTGTTTTGCATTAAAAAAACCTTTCAGGCTATCCTTGAACAATCTGGACCAAAGACTTTGAAGAGTTTGGGTCCAGCTGAGGAAGTATTGATACGTGAATGGCGATGAGACGCTGGCTGATGAGAGTCAACTGGAGAGTGTCTATCTGACCCCCGAGGTCAAGGGAACAAGAGTGTGTCAAGAGCTGTTGTGAGCCAAGAAAGTCAAGCTGATGGAGCCCATGGGAGAGTAAGAGAGTGCTTGCCTCTTCTACCCATCATTATCCTGCTCAGCATGGACCTGTGGGCTTCATCTTGAGGAAGCAAGAGTGACCAAGGATGAAAATCACCTTGCTGGGTCATGTTGTAGGTACAGGATGGTTTTTTCCTACACAGATGGACAGTTTCTATTTAGTAAATTACTTAAGAGGGCCTGTGCATTTGTCCAATGTTTATTTGCATTTATAATCTTGCCTCCTTTTGACATAAGACTTTTTTAAAATTCAAGGATACTGAAATAAAAAGAACTCAAATGAAATGCCTTGAGTATTTAAATTTGATAGCAAATGTTTCCTCTGCTTCTTTTGGCTCATATTTGTTATAGCCACCGTGGATATCATGAATAGGTATCGGCTTCAATAAGAAGTATGCATAGACAAGAGGTCGGTCCTTCATATTGAAAAGTAAGCCAGTATCTCCCAGAGTTAAGATGGAATGTGGTCTTCCGATATGATTGTGTGGCTAAAATTGTGTATCTAAACAGCAGAAGCCATCCTGAGCTCCCTTGACCCATCTCCTACAAGGCAGGTCAAACAAATGCCTTCCTGACTGTCCTCAGAAACAGAGCCTAAGGCCCCATGGGAGAGATGGTTCTCTCACTCCCAAGCATAAGCAAGCAGCATCCTTATCCACATAGATTCAGGGCAGTTGTGGAACTGGAGCAAGCAGACCTTGCTAAGTTCCATTAATCATCATTATCGTGCACACTTTTGCCCTACCATGCTCTCTATCACTCTGCTCTTCACCAAACACACCCTAAAACACACTCAGGTCTTGGGCTGGGGAGATGGCTCAGTGGGCACAGTGTTTGCTGTGTAACCACGAGGACCCAAGTTCTGATCCTCACCGCTCACAAAAAAAAGCTGCTTACAGATCTGTAACCCCAACACTGGGGTGGGGGATAGACAAATGGGTCCTGAGGAGGTTGTTGTCTAACCAAAATGCCCAGCTCCAGACTCAGTGAGAGACACTGTCTCATAAAACGTGGTGGAGGGCTGGTGCGATGTCTCATAAAACGTGGTGGAGGGCTGGTGCGATGTCTCATAAAACGTGGTGGAGGGCTGGTGCGAGTGGTGGAGGGCTGGTGCGATGTCTCATAAAACGTGGTGGAGGGCTGGTGCGATGGCTCATAAAACGTGGTGGAGGGCTGGTGCGATGTCTCATAAAACGTGGTGGAGGGCTGGTGCGATGTCTCATAAAACGTGGTGGAGGGCTGGTGCGATGTCTCATAAAACGTGGTGGAGGGCTGGTGCGATGGCTCATAAAACGTGGTGGAGGGCTGGTGCGATGGCTCATAAAACGTGGTGGAGGGCTGGTGCGATGGCTCATAAAACGTGGTGGAGGGCTGGTGCGATGGCTCAGCAGGCAGGTTGCTTTCTGTCAAGCATGAAGCCCCGAGTTTGATCCCTGGAACCCACACGGTGACAGGAGAAAACCTACTTTCTCAAATTGCCCTCTGACCTCCGAATGTGCAAAGTGGCATGTGTGTACACAGATACATACACAAAATAAATAATATTAGTGATAATGATGCTGTTGACCTCTGATCTCTGTGTGTACATGCATGAGCTTGTGTTCCTACACACGTGAGCACATGCGTGCATGCACACACACACACACACACACACACACACACACTCATTCTTTGGGTTGTCATTTTCATATAAAGACTGTTGGACCAGCTAAGATTTATTTAAATAAGTTAGTATATTTTTCTTGTTAATTTTTGCAAATCTCAGACATGGACTTAGAATGGTAGGAGGGAGGGAGGGAGTCAGGAGGGAGAGAGAGAGAGAGAGAGAGAGAGAGAGAGAGAGAGAGAGAGAGAGAGAGAGAGAGAGAGAGAGAGAGAGAGATGCTCTGGTCATCAGGCTTAGTAGTAAGCACCCTTACCCAAGGAACCATCTCATTGGCAACCCCCTTCCCCGCCTTCTTACATAAGCAACTAATAGGAAAGTTTGTGTAAGAACATGCTATTCTCATTTCTAGATCACAAACTAAAATGTTAATTTTAAATTTTAAGGGCTGGAGATTTGGCAAATGGAACTCAGCCCATCTTACTCTGTCTGGGTATCCCTAATTAATAGATGAGTCAGTTTGGCTGTCAGATTTTTCTGCAGGGGTTTAGGCTTCCCACATGATGAAGCATGGATATTCTACAGTTTCCGAAGAGCCAAATTACTGTTTCTTTTCACATTCCCTATTATGTGCTGACAAATGACTTGGGAGCTTGGCTTACAACAGGCATACATTAAGTTTCTGGTTCCGTTGGATTGTGGCATCTTTCAGAGGCTATTTCACTAACTCACATTCACCATTACTCTAATAAACAGTGAACACTGTGCACTCTGTCCACGGGGCACACTGCTAGACACTAACGAGTGGGTGATTGTGCTGGTGTCCTGCAAGGATTCGAGCCGACAGAATCGCTTCCAGTTGTGGGGAATCACTTCTCAGGAAGGTGGCTTCCTCTGGTGTCTCAGAATCATCAACCCTCCTAGGTTGATTCCTCCACACCATCCTTTTCATGGCTATTATTTACAATTGCTTTTGAAGTTATTCATATCTGGCTTTCTCTTTAGACCCGATGCTGCGTGAGGGCAGGGCACATACCGGGTTCTGCACAGTGGAGCATGTGGGCCAGCTGTATAGTGTTTAGTTCACAGTAGGGTCTTGATGAAGAGCCATGCCTGGAGCTCTCACCAACACTGCCATGAGCCATGTGTTCTCAGCTTCGTGTCTTCTTTACAAGGGTACATGGACACAGGTACTGTTTTCCCCAGGAAGCTCAGAGGAAAGAAGCTCACTAGTTGCCTTCCTCCTCAGGTTGGCCCGCTTGTGTTCCTCCTTCACTTCAGGCAGAGGAAGCTAAAGGAGCAAGGCAGACGGAGGACTGCCTGAGAGAGGAGGCTATAGCCAAGACCACCATGGAGCTCCTCTTCCGGGAGAGCAAGGGTGCGGTGTGAATCCACGAGGATCTGGCACAGGTTCTCAAGAATTTATTTAGGTATAAAATAGTGGTAAATACTCACTGATACAGAACCAGTTAGATGCCGCCACTGTTCCCAGCTGCCTTCGTCAAGTTGTTCTGTCCAGGAGTGAAGAGCAAGCCATCTGTTCCATTCCCAAGAGAGCACACAAAGAGCGAGAGACCCTTCACCCTCAGCCTATCAGTTGTCATATAGCAGGCAAGACCATGCCTTAGCACTTGCTGTCCCCAAAGTCATTGGCTAAACGGATGGAAATCCCACAACACAAGGGCCTGGGTAGAATGTACCTTGAAGGACACTTCAGATTGTGCGTGCTGCCTGGCTACCGGCCCTGGACATCTCCCTAAGATGGTTCTGCTTCGACTAATGCTAGTTAAAATAAACCTAGGGTCCTTCATGCCTTCCATAAGTCATGGCTTCCTGTAGATAACACTGACCCTGGCCTTCAGTGTGCTGTGAGTTACAACTGGTCAAAACTTGACCAGGCTCACTCCATGGACTTTGATTATAGCTTAGACCTTCAATGATCCATAGTTATCTATGACCTAGAGTTCTTTTCTAGACTATGAGCAGGGGGTGGGGCAGCGGGAACCCTGTCCCAGTGACAGGGACTTGTTTCTTCCAGCTCTGTTCCTCACTTGCAGTCCTCATGCTGGCTGATGATAAAGGAGTTGCAAGCTCATTAAACGGACATTTATAAGGGGATAGGATTACAGGTTTACACGCCAGTGTCTTCTAACATGATGATGACCTCCTTTAATAAACATGGTACTGAGTACTGTACATCATAACTCATCATATGGAATTATACCCAGACGTAGAGAAAAATGAAAACCTCAGGAAAACTGATAGATCTGAAAAATATTATATTAACTGAGGTAACCCAGGTCTAGGGAGACAAATACTTGTTATTTCTCTCATATGGATCCTAGCTGTTAGTGCTTGTGTGTATGTATGGGGGCGTGGCATGACACTGGAAAGGGGACCACAAGAGTAGAAAAAAGAGATGCTGAGGAAGGGGTAGGGTAGTAGAGTACATGTGGCATGGAAGAATAAAAAATGCTGCTTAGGTCTAGGGATACAAGGGGCTGGGGAAGAATGGAAGGGAGGGGCTCTACAGAAGGGAGTTACGCTTGAAAATACTGTAGTGAAACCAGCCGGCTCAGCCCACAGTTGCTGTCCATCATGAAGGGAAGTCAGGGCAGGAGCTCCAGGCAGGAGAGGCCAGGGAGGAGTGCCGCTCACTGGCTTGCTCACCCCCTTTTCTTCTACAGCGCAGGACCACCTGCCCAGCGTTGGCACTGCCCTTGGTGAACTGGCCCCTCCCACATCCATCGTTAATCAAGACAACACTTCGCAGACATGTCTACAGGCCAATCGGATGGGGGCATTTCCTCAGCTGAGCTCCCTCTTCTCAGACAGCTCTAGCTTGCCCGAAGTTGACAGAAAACTGCAGGGATGGGTGGCAAGCTTAGGATAGGTGATGTGAAAGGCATGCTTGTATCTTAAAAATCTGTCTGGGATCTGGAGACAAGGGAAAGCACTTCCAGGTCCCGGCTCTAGTCTGCCTGCCAAGACTGTGGTTTTGCTTGTTTATTTTAACTTAACCACCATCTAATAAACTCATACATGGCAAATGAAAACATAGAAATATGACATGTTATCAGATAAACTTAGAGGTCTAGATGATCTGAAAGTATCGAAATGATGCTTTTAAAATTTCCTTTGTGGACTATATACTTATGCACTCAGAATTATGTACCTTAGTGAAGGTAGGATGGTTGGTCTGGACGTTCCTGTGAAACGAAAGAGAAGATGTAGCATGTATGATCAGGCAGGCCAGAAAATAATACTTCAGAAATGAAGGCTGGAGAGATGGTTCAGTGGGTAAAGAGACTGCCATGCAATTGAGGGGCCTTGAGTTTGGATTGCAGATACCCATGCACATTTGGGCAGATGTGGCAGCCTGCCTATACCCTTTGCCCTCCAAATGCAGAGACAGGGGCCCTAGAGCAAGCTAGTTAGTGAGACTAGCCAAATCAGTAACCTCTGGGTTCACATGAAACTGCACTTCAGTGTTTAAGGGAGAGATGAATTGATGAAGACGTCAGCATCAACCCCTGGCTTCTCCACTCACACACACACACACACACACACACACACACACACACACACACACACACACACGTGTTTTCTCGTACATATGTGAACACACAAATATAACACACACACACACACCATCATCATCATCATCATCCACATGATCTTG